TTGGACCCCAGCTCCATGGGCATCCTCTGAAATCCTCTAAGAAGCCCCTCAGCCAGCCCAGCCCTTCTCACCCCCCTAAAAAATGAAACTGCTACTAAAGAATAAAAGCCACAGCCTTGCCAGGACCCGGCGCCTCTGGAGAAGGACCTGAGGAGACTGCTCTTCTCCTGAAAGTGTCGCTTCTTGACCCTCACTGCGCTCCAGCTCCCGGGCCACAGCAGGCCATCTGAAAGGCCAGTCTCCGCTTCCGGGAAGGTGGCTGGAAGGGCGGGGGGCGGGGGGCTGGCTGACTGCCCTCCCTCCTGCCAGCGGGTCCCCACAGCCCCCCACCTGTGCCCCTCTGGCCTCACCTGGTGTGGGGACCGCAGGAAGCCTGACTCCACACTGGCTGCAGAATTTGGGGGCTTCATCTTTGGAGACATGATGGCAGGAAGGACACTCCATGCTTCTGGGGACAGGTCGCCTGGACCCGTGTCCCACTGCAAACCTGGAAGTAAGAGCCTTGAAGCAGCCGGCTATATACCAAGCTGCGCATCACGTGACCGGAGCCCGTTTCAGTTTCATTTTCTGAGAAAGTGAAATTACACTGGTCCACTAGGACCCACTGCTCCAATCAAAACTCAGCCTGCCCCTCTCCCTTACAGCACTGTTCATCCCCCATCTGTCCCTGTCCCTTCCCCCCTCTGCTCCCCGTGACAGGCTTCCAGAGCTCTCGGCCCGCCCTGTCAGCCATCATTCAGTCTCCAATGCAGATTCTGAGGCTCCCACTGGGCCAGAGCTCACGGCTTCTGGAGAACCAGCTGAGCACGCCTGAAGATGCAGGGGTCAGTGGGGCTGGGGGTGCATGGGCGCAAAACCCTCAGCCACCTGCCCTGCAGCAAAACTGCTGCTAACGCCCAGAGCCAGTGCCCAGGGCTTCAGACTGGTTCGTTCCGGCTGGAACCCCTGCTGAGAATTTGCATTTCTACCCCAGATATACCGAATCAAAATCTATAGTTCAGCAAGATCCCCAGCTGATTCTCATGTATGATACATTTTGAGAACCTGATGTCAGATGAGGAGTCCTGGGGGCACAGTGGTTAAGAACTCAACTGCTAACCAAAAGGTTGGCAGTTCGAATCCACCAGCTGCTCCTTGGAAACCCTATGTATGGGGCAGTTCTACTCTGTCCTATAGGGTCGCTGTGAGTTGGAATCCACTCGACGGCAATGGGCGGGCTTGATGTCAGATGGATCATAGCTGAAAGCATAGAATACCAGAAGGAGGTTGACCTGTGTTTTATTGACTACGCAAAGGCATTTGATTGTGCGGATCATAACAAATCATGGATAACATTGCAAAGAATGGGAATTCCGGAACACTTAATTGTGCTCATGAGGAACCTGTACATAGATTAAGAGGCAGTCATTCAAAACAGAACAAGGGGATACTGTGTGGTTTAAAGTCAGGAAAGGGGCGTGTCAGAGTTGTATCCTTTCACCGTACCCATTCAATCTGTATGCTGAGCAGGTAATCCAAGAAGCTGGGCTATACAAAGAAGAACAGGGCATCAGGATTGAAGGAGGACTCATTAACAACCTGTGTTATGCAGGTGACACAACCTTGCTGGCTGAAAGTGAAGAGGACTTGAAGCACTGATGAAGATCAAAGACCACAGCCTGCAGTATGGCTGACACCTCAAGGTAAAGAAAACAAAAATCCTCACAACTGGACCCTTAAGCAACATCATGATAAACGGAGAAAAGACTGAAGTTGTCAAGGATTTTATTTTACTTGGATCTGCTGCAAAAGACCTCTTTAAAGTGTTAAAGTGTTAAAAAGCAACAATGTCACTTTAAGGACTAAGGTTCCCCTGACTCAAGCCACGGTATTTTCAATCACATCATATGTATGCGAAAGCTGAGCAATAAATAAAGAAGACCGAAGAAGAATTGAAGCCTTTGAATTATGGTGTTGGCAAAGAATATTGAATATACTATGGACTGCCAAGAGAATGAAAAATCTGTCTTGGAAGAAGTACAGCCAGAATGCTCCTTAGAAGCAAGGAGGGCGAGACTTTGTCTCACATACTTTGGACATGTTATCAGGAGGGATCAGTTCCTGGAGAAGGACATCATGCTTGGTAAAGTGGAGGGTCATTGAAAAAGAGAAAGACCCTCCACGAGATGGATGGACACAGTGGCTTCAATAATTGGCTCAAGCACAGCAACAATTGTGAGGACGGCACAGGACCGAGCAGTATTTTGTTCTGTTGTACACAGGGTCGCTATGAGTCAGATCGGACAACTGCTCTGCTAGCAGTTCTCAGAATTGGTCCCTAATCAGCAGCATTAGCATCACCTGGGAATCGTTAGAAATGCAAATTCTCAGCAGAGGATGGAAGTCCTTTCAGTGCTTGCTGTGTGTCCTGGGTCACTGGACCTCTCTGTGCCTTGGCTACTCATCAGGGGATGGGAACAAAGCACCTGCTCACAGGCTGATGTGGGAATTAGTGAGTCACACAGGCCACACAGAAATACCAGCCACAGCCAGAGCCAGTGGGCCCAGGGCTAACGGGACTGGGTTCCTGATAACAGGGGCTGGGTGGGGGGCCTGCGGTCAGTATTCTTTATAACAAAGGCTGCGATCGAGATTCCCGATAACTGGGGCTTCGGGTCAGTATGCTGATAATAGAGGCTGTGGGGAGCTGGAGGTCAGGATTTCCAGCAATGGGGGCTGCCATCTAGGTAGCTGTCTTAGTCATGCAGTGCTGCTATAACAGAAATACCACAAGTGGACGGCTTTTAACAAAGAGACATTTATTCTCCCCCAGTCCAGTAGGCTACAAGTCCAAATTCAGGGCATCAGCGCCAGGAGAAGGCTTTCTCTCTCTGTTGGCTCTGGAGGAAAGTCCTTGTCATGCATCAGTCTTCCCTTTGTCGGGGAGCATCTCAGCGCAGGAACCTCAGGTCCAAAGGACGCGCTCTGCTCCCGGCACTGCTTTCTTGGTGTTATGAGGTTCCCATGAGTATCTGCTCGCTTCTCTCTTTTATATCTCAAAAGAGATTGGCTTAAGACACTATCTAATCTTGTAGACCTCATCGGTGGAAGTGCCGCTAATCCTTCTTATTACATCACAGTGATAGAATTTACAACGCACAGGGAAATCACATCAGATGACAAAATGGTAGACAGTCATACAATACTGGGAATCATGACAGCCAAGTTGACAGATATTTTAGGGGGACACAATTCAATCCATGACACTAGCCCACACTCTTCCCCTCAACTATTTGGCTCTAGGTGGTGGCTAGCATCAAACTGTGGTTGGGGTCACGGCCAGTCAGTGCCAAGGCCATCCGTCCAGGGTGAGAGGAGACAGGCGTTGGGATCTGGGTGCCTAACAATCTAGGCTTTGACTCTCTGTGGTGAGAACAACAGGGTTGCAATGATCCACAGCCCCCTCTTGGCTTCCTGCCAAGAATTCTCAGGAGCACTGGACGGAGGTCTGTCCCAGCCTCTGGTCTTCCAGCCCCTCCTGTTGGTGGCACCAGGGTGTTCCAGTTAGTTACAGGTAGGACTCTGGGTAGGAGGTCACACCTCCCCTCCCCTCCTTTCTTTTTGGCCCAGGGGCCTGTCTTCCACCATGACAGTGTACTCCACTGCAGGTGGGGCCGCACAGCGCACTTAGGGTATGGGGTTCCCTTGCTTCACCTTACACGGGCCAGGCCTCCCCTCCACACGGACCACCACGTCTGGGCACTCCCTCATTCAAACATCTTCAGTGACTGCCACAGCCCAGGCCTCTCCCTTTCCACCCAAGGCTGCCTCCCACTCTGCAGTGTTCCCCTCCTTACAGGCCAGAAAACCCAAAGCAAGGCTCAGGACGTTGCTGAAGCATCTTACTGACCCCTGCCTGCACTTGGGGTGTAAATCGGGGTAAAGGCAAACGAAGGGCCCGGGCCCCCAACGCGCCCTGTTCATCAGCTTCCAGACTTGTCCCTTCACTTTCAGTCCCAACCACGGACCGCGCCAAAACTCAAAGCCCCTCCCCCAACTTCCCCAAGAAAACAAGGGGGGCGGGGCGGTGAGGGATGGAGCAGCGCGCCCCCCCATCTTTGCACTTGGTCCTTCTCCTCCCGCCCGGCCTCCCCCAGGACCCCTGCCCTCTCGTGATGCTGGGGCCTCACCCTCGGGTCCTGGAGGTGGCGGCCGTGTTGAGCGCCCACCCTGCCCTCAAGCGCCCAGCCCCGCGCCGCTGGAGTCCCCTCCCTCCAGGGCGGGGGCGGCCCTGCCTCTTCGGAAAAGTTACTGTGAAATAAGGACGCGCGTCTGTTTGCAACTCGCTTGTCAGCCGCTGCGATTTGTGCCGGGAAGGGACTCGGGGTGCAGTGCGGTCCGCCCACGACCCCTCCTGTCCCTGCCTCCGGGTCAGAGTCCCCTGGGGCCCTGCTGGGAGAAGTCCCGCCGCACTTGAGGCCGGGTGGGCCCTGTCCGGGCACGTCGTCGGGCCGGGGATGCGCGCGGCCGCGCCACTGCGTACCCACCTGCCCCCGCTCCCCCACCTCCACACCCCGAGGTCCCTTCACCCCCCCCCCCGCCTACTGCACCCATGGACCCCTGGGTCCCCCCGCCCCCAACTGCGCACCTGGCCCCGCGCCCGCCGCCTACCACCCGCGGGGGAGGGTCTGGATCCGGCGCCCAACGGTGAAACCGAAACCCGGCGCCGCAGAAAGAGGCAGCCTGGGAGGAGGCGCGGCCGGGAGCCTGGTGCATTCGGCCGCGATCGCCGCCCTCTGGCTGCGGCTCGGAGCGCCCCTACCGGCCCGCGCCCCTACCCTGTGGACCCCGCACCCCCAGCACGGACCTCCCCCACATCTCCATACCCTGGGGTCACAAACGCTGCCGCCTCGCTTCCCGCACCCACAGACCTCTCTCTGGAGCCCCGCAACCGCCATCTCGCACCCTATCCTGCGTTCCGCAGCGTCCTGGACCCGCGCATCTACAGCCCTGCAGTGCGTCCAGCCACGCGGCTGTTCGCGGTCACCCTGCCTGCTCGTCCGGCCTCTGCCAGCGCCAGGGCTCTCGTGGGCTGGACTGAAATTCCCCGCGGTGAAGACCCCAGAGGCCCGGGTTCCGCTCCCTGGCAGTCCCCCACCTGGAGAGGCGCCTTAGCTACTGAGCCCCCTCCGCAGGTCGGTGGCCGGGGGGGATTCGCACCCGGCCTCGAGCTGAGCCCCTCGGCCCTGTCTGCACCCCGACCTCCCTCATCTGTAACGTGAGGCCAAAAAGACTGCATCCTAGGGCCGCCAGGGATTAATAATAATAATAATAACAACAGCAGACATTCTTGTTCAGACACTTGGCCTGTATTATCTTAGTTCATGCTCACAGCTCAAACGCCCAGCACACCTGTGCAGGTCCTGGACCTCACACCTGTATAGGGGCCCAGAGCAAAGGGGGCTGCTGTAACTGTCAGTTGTCGTGATCACTAAGGCTATTAAAC